ACTGGTTTTGGGCTTTTGGCTCTAAAAAATCTGCCTCTGCCTTCCAAGAGGCCCTTGGGAGAGAAGTCAAGATGTCATAGATGGTACTGGAATGTTGTGAGTTCTAACTTAAGTGTGATTGATCGCATCGAACACTTGCACCAAGGATCTATAAGCGAGAGGGGTGAGCCTTGAACTTTCTTCACCGAATGCGGCACCACCGCCCAACCCATTGCCAATAGTGGTTGCCGGTTGGCAGTTGCCACCACTCCTGTCCACAGTGATGATTATTGACTGCCACCCATTGACTCGCCGACAGGTTCTCCTTCCGCTCAAGTCTCCGCGGCGGCCGTGCATCAAGTCTCCGCGTGGCGCACGCACGGTGCCAGGCACGTCGGGCTTCGGTCGGTCAAGTCGCCGCAGGACCAGCTCCGTCGCCGGCCACCCACCGCCTGCACGCCGGGCACCGGAGTCACGCACGAAAAGCGCGTGTCTGACCGAGGAATCCAAGGGGAAAAGGTCGCTCTTTCCTTCCACGTCCTCAGGCGCGACACGGTGGCCGTGCGCGTACGCGGACTGCAGTCTGCGCTTCTGCAGACCTGCATGCCGTCCATCGGTTCATTTCGTAACGGTTAGGATAGCTCGATCGTGACCGAGAAATCCACTGGAGAAAACTAAATGTGGCGCCGCACGGTGCTGGACAAGGACGGGAGTTGTTCGCGGTTGGATGTAGGGGGCCGGAGTTGCTGACTGCTTCCTTGTAATTCTTTGTTAAGAAATTGACTATCCGTATGATCACACTTTCCTTTTTTAAACTGAGATCTAGGCTAATGATCTATGTAAAAATACCAGAACTGATCCGGTACTCCTCTTTCTAAAACTTATACGGATCTCAAAACAGCTCACCTAATTAATTAAATATTTGTTTAATTATTTTCATCTGTGTCACACCTGGGCCTGGCTCATCCAAACCCAGTCCATCTCCAGTCCAAACTCCATATTTCTTTTCCGAGTGTGCTAGAACCGCCACGACCCACGAGAGGGTGCCATCATCGTCTCTGCTCGCGCTGGAGAAGTGGAGAGGGGCGTGTCGTCTTGGCGTCGGGAAAATGGAGGAGGATGGCACGGACCTAGGCGACACACATGATAGGAGCGGCATCGTCTCGTCGTCGGGACATAGAGCAGGATCTATGTCACTGAGGGAGTTGAACGGAGAGCACTGGATCGACGACGCCGAGACGACACTGCTCCTCACGTGCGCGTGGCCAAGCATGATGCTGCCAGCGTGCGGCGCTTCCCCATGGCGTGTGACACACCCGCAATGGCAAACGCACATCACAGCCTCCCGGCTCTCGCGACTGCGTGATCCGGAGAATGGAGGTGCTGCCGTGCTCGGTCCGCCGGCTACCAGCACAAAAGAACAATCGCCGGGAATGGTCGCCGCCCGGTCTCCTTCAACGAGGAAATCAAACGAAGAAAGGGGGATCTGAGAGATATTACTTTGGATTTGGGTGAGGACTGGACACTCGCTGGGCTTGGACGGGTCAGGCCCAAGACAAAAATAATTAATAAAGAATAATTGGCTAGATACGCTGCTTTAATATTCGTGTCATTTTTAGAAAAAGAAGTATTGGAGCAGTACAAAAAAAACTCTGGACACAATTTTATCTTTAAACTACATGTTTTTGTGACCGGAGGGATTACCACGATAGCTATATATATATATACACATACTGATGATCATAAGAGATCTTCCTCCGTGATTTGATCCCTCTGTCCTCGCCATTATTGCCCAGTCACTTGCATTCAGCAACATCGATTTTGCACAAATACAATGAGGTTTTGCATCATGAGTTCATCTTATGATATTGGTTATGAATGACTCAATTTCTCCTCATGGTTATTGTAATAGTTGGCTGTGATGAATGTGATGGCTATAGATAATTCGTTAGTTTTCAGAAAGCAAAAAAAAGTGACAAGATAATGAATCATCTCGCTACTTAAACCAAACATACCTTAGAACAACGAGGGAAGTTTCTTCTCAAATCTCCTTACCTTGTTCAGTTAGTCCATATTGACCACATTGGTCACTGCAAACGGAAGCAATGTCAGACTACTGAGCTTTGCAACTCCCTAATATTTCATCTTTGACTTGCTTGCTCCTTGTATATTCGTTCCTCAAATTCGACGGCACGGAGAGGTTGGCCCAGTAGCCTATCACTGCCATCCACCAATATAACCCCTGACGTTTGTAATATCGGGGGTGTTCGCTGCATAAAAACAGCGGCTCTAGCTACAGATTTAGGCATTGTTAGGACGTTGTAGTATTTAGAAACTATAGTATCAAAAAACTGTAGTTTTAGAACCATTGATGTATAAAAACCGTGGTTTAGAAAAAAGAGGTCTAGAGTGGAGTTTTTAAAACACCAAAAAACCAAAGTTTTAGCAATACCATGGTATTTAAAACCATAAAGTTTGTTGTAACCAAACACTTCATGGCACCCTAAAACAAAACAAAAAAAATCACAAAACCATGGTATTTTCTATAACTCCAAAAACACTTTGTATCAAACAGGGCCTTAGCTTTTCCTTCTCTCTTGCTCTTGCAATCACGGTAGTCATAACGTCTGGCAGCTGCAACAGCCTGCCCTCCCCCCCCCCCCCCCACCCCCCACACACACAAAAGGGGGCAAACTATGAAAGTAATTTTACAGAAATTATTTTATTTTCATAGAGAAAAAACAGAAAACAAAAAAACCATGTTTCAAAACATTAGAATTTTTCATGGAAGTCTGTAATTCCAATTAAGGGCCTGTTTAGAATGTGGAAAAAATTTATAGCCTATATTTTCTATGAGATTAAAGTGATTTATTGAAAATATTTACATAATTCTCGTAAAATTCCTGTGTTTCAAATAGGCCTAGAGGAGAGAGTGGGGTTGTTCGGATGGATATGGATAGAGACGAGATTACGAGAAGTAGAGCGCGGCAGAACCAAGCGGCGAACGACAATGTTCACGGCGGCGGCTCGGTGTACCGTATACGTGCAGCAGGTACTGATGTACGTGAGGCAGAGAACTGTAGTCGTGGGCTGCCTGCTGAGCTATCGGTTTATATCTGTGGGACATCGACTGGAGCGGGCCTATCATTTACTTGGGCTGTTTTTTCCTCCGCCAAACGGGCCATGACTCTCAGGCTATGGCCTGTTGTTCGTTCGGAAGGCTCGCCTCTTTGGTTTAGAAGTCTGAGAAAATAGCCGTATGCTGAAGGAAATATGCTTAGAAGCCGAGGGAAAAACTGCTTCCTTGGGGAAAAAAATGCTAGCTAGCGTCTGGACGTTCGGGGTGTCTAGACGCCTGCGTCTGCAGCTATTTCCTACGCCCACCCACGTGGGGCTTGCACCACCCGAACGTTGCCAGCATCGAGAAGAGGGGGAAGGGACGGCGGATGCCAGCCGGCGCCGGGAGGAGGAGGCACCGAGGCGAGGCAGCAAAAAGCGAGGAGGGAGATGCAACACACGATCTACTTTTGAAATATCCAGATGCAATACTTTCAAAATGCGTCTGAAGGCAGATGAAACAATTGAAACATGTATCTGAAACACTTGTAAAAACACACGAAAACACTTAAAAACCATTGTGAAACATATGCAACACACAAATAAACACACTTGCAACATACGTCTGAAAAAACAGATGAAACATTAGGAGCCGAAGCTTGCAACATACATGTACAACCATCGCAACATATGTATTAAACATTTTGCACCATACCTCTAAAACATCTGAAACACACGCTTACAAAATGCGTTTTCAGCGCAACATCTCCTTGATACTTGAGAGAATGGAGGCTCGTCGGCATGTAGAGTTCACTGGACGCAGCGGCCCAAGGCGAGAAGCGGAGAAGATGGCGCCCACATCGAGTTTAAGGAGGCGATGGACGGATCTCGAAAGAAGAGCAGCCTACGGTCCTCGCTGCCACACTGAGTTCAAGGAGCCAGTGGTCCTCCGGTTCGGGGCGCAGGGCAGCAAGCGTGGGCGGTGCAGCAGGTGGGCAAGGAGGGCGGCGCAATGCCAGGTCGAAGCAGCGAGGAGGAAGTGGGGGCACACGGCTGCGCTGGTGGCCGGCGGGGCTGTCGCGCCGCCCCGCTCTGCGCACGGGGTGCGATGTGGTGGGGAAGAAAGAGAGCCACGAGGCAGGAAGACCAATTCTTTTTTTTTAAAACTCCTAGACAGATTTGAAGGGGTAGTTGGACTAGCGTCGCAGCCCACCAACGTCCACCAACGTAGTGTCCGAGGTGGACAGACACCCGCTTCCAGCATTGGAGAAGGGTATCGTATGTTTATAGTGCAGTTAATTGTTCCCTGTTTCATGTATTTCACCACCCTAAACATAGCTCAAGTCTAAACAACACCAGGGCAAGTGTCAAAAATCCCCATTGAAAGACGCCACTCGTAGTACAGACAACAAACATTTTGAGTAGCGATAATAATCCAATAATAACAAGTGACTACTACTTCATATACCTACTGCAAAGCATTAGAATCAGTCACTCAGGGTTTACACCACTTGGCAGGCTGTACCACAACTGCTGTGTACACCCAGTCCAGATATGAAATATGATAAACAGATTCAGGCAGACAAGCCATGCACCATAAAACGTGTCAGCAAAAGGCAATTAACATTTGGGCCAAGATTTTTTTTTTTTGAAACATCATTTGGGCCAAGAATGCAATGATGAATTCTTCCAAAAATGAAGTGAATAATGAACTGATGAAGAGCACTAATATGTAGCTGTATAAGTAAAGAATATAACAATGAACGAATAGGACAGGGTATTACAATCAACCTGTATATGTCAGTAAAGGAGTATCTATTCACAAGGCTCAGGTTCAGCATTGTAACTGTATCTAGTGCTCCATGCCTGGATCATGCTGTAGCTGTACCGAGCAACACAATGGATCATTGATGCAGAGCTATATAGGGTATAAAGCCACAAGGAGCTAATGTCCAGGCTGCCACCGGGGGACGGTGGTCTAAACGGTCTAAGCAATATGATTCCACCAGTATGAAGCAAACTCCCGCATTGATATTAAAACAACAACCAGTGCTTCTTTCTAGGCTTATATTTGCTAGGGAGATCTGCACAGCAACAAGTACTTCCTTTTCTTAAAAGATGGGTATACATAGCAAGACATCACATTAATGTATTTCAGACTTTCCATAATCAAGTTACGTTAAGTATATGTGGTTCTGACCTCGAGCATCGTACAGTGAGTTATAGTGAACTTCTGACCAGAAACTCAGCCAAATCTCTGAGAAGGCATAGGATTTTAGGGTCAGTAAACATAGCTACATAACTTTTATGTCCACCTATGTTTAGCGAAGTGTGCAGTGATCATGAAGGTGTATGCATAAACTAATAATAATGCTGAAATAGCATATTGCTCAGTGTGGATTGAACAGTATGCAGAGTTTTCTATTTAGCTGATCTGCTAGTAGTCACTAATAAGTATAACAAAGGAACCTTACCTCTCTGTGGAGCTTGATATTGAGGAACAATTTCAACAAAACAGGTATCTCTGAATGATGTAAGAAGACATATCTTTGCCGCAAACTGCCAAAAGTACATGAAAAAATTAGACATATTCTTTCTCCAGACTCCAGGCAACTCATATTCAACAGTAAATATGAACATAGACTGCCCTTATAGAGTAGAAAACTATGAGTATGTGTTTGCCTCAGAAGTATGGTGATTTTAGTGAAGCACGATTCAAATATGAATTGATATATGATGAATTTAAATGCACTGCAACAATACAAGATCATTAAGGTTCTATTCTGAGGCTATACCATAGACAACATATGTTATCTTTGTTTTGTATTTCAGTAAGATACGAAAATAATAGCAATCATTTGCATAGTAGCGCAATGGCTAAATGTGTTGCAATGATGCTATAAGTTGCATGAAAATTCAGTAGAACAAATGATGTTAGAAACATAGCATAAAAAAGAGAATTAACCTTGTCTGCAGCTGCTTGTAGTGTGACATGGTCACCCCATTCACCAGACCTGGAGAAGATAGTTTTCAATGACACCACAGTCAGAAAAACACAAATTCAGGGACTTCTATTATGAAGCGGCAAAGTTAATATTAGCAAAATACATACTTCTTCATTTTTTTGCAATAATGTTTGTATTTCATTGGAACGTAACCTTCATATAAGGAGTTACATTCCTTGAGCTGCAAAAGGAGTAAAACAGCACATATAAGCATACAGGCCTCTCAGGAAAGAAAATCATCAGACCAATGGTGAGAAAATTATATTTCTGAATACTTCCTCTGTTCTTTTTTAGATAGAAGATGTTTTAATTTGCTGGTTTTGTTCTCAGATAGATGACGTTTTGGGGTTTTCCTGTACTGTTATTATCCCTGTTAAAAAGCTGGTTGAACTAACACAGTTAATACCACTTCCATTTATTCATGCATCCTTACTGGATGAGTAATACAACTTTCTCTTCATCCTAAAAATGATTATGATGTTAAGTACATGTAAGCATGCAGGTTTGCTTCGCAGAAAAGGAAGTATCAGATCAATAATGACCCAAAAAATGTTTTTTATAATACTTTTTTTTTCTGGAATACGCAGGAGAGCTGCGTATCATTGCATTAAGAAAGGGGATAAAAGGCTTATATAGCCATAAAACAGCACACACACACCGTCTCTCGATTACATACGCGCCAGTTAAAACTGTAAAAAGACGACCTCCCTCAACAGGCGCTGCTACACCCCAGGTCGAGCAGCGACCAGTTCACTAATGCCTTTAGCGCCTGCCAACCTCCAGAGAGCAGCTTCTTCTTGTGCAAGGAGAAGCACCCGCTCTATCCTAGGCGAGGCAAAATTGAACACAATATCATTTCTTTCCTTCCAAAGCATCCAGGCTCCTAGCATGACCAATGAATTGAATCCTCTCTTGGTTCTTTTGTCAAGAGTGGTACCGGCTTGTTGCCACCAGTCAAAGAACCCAGTGGCAGATGGCTGAGGTGCAAAATCCGGGAGTGCAAAGGTGCGAAATAATTGAAACCAGAATTGCCGAGAGAAGACACAGTAACAGAGGAGGTGCTGAATGGTTTCATCCTCTTGGTCACAGAAGGGGCAGTGCTCAGGATGAGGAAGACTGTAACATCCTAATGGGCCAAAGTGGGCCCAATCCAATCCAGTTATGGGCCGGTGGTACCGCAGCAGAATGGGCCGGCACTGTAGCATCCGAACTTCGGGGGTACTTAGGCCGAGCACTGTTCACCCCAAAAAGGTCGGCCAAGTTAGTACTGTCCACGGGTTACTGTAGCACCGCGAAGACACTGTACAGCCGGTTTAGTACCATCCTGGAAACTCAGGATTCGCCAGATCAACTTAAATACCAGGGCCAGGGACGCGTAGTAACCTTCGGTTAACCGTTTTGAACGAAGCGAGGATGAAAGTTCAAGCGGGTTGCTACGCGGGTCGGACCACTCCTAGGAAGAGTGGGCCGAGGCCATGTATGTCGGGACTGGACGTTACAAAGACCTCTTCTAGCAAGTCTATCAGCTGTCCAACATCGATTATGTGCAACTAACCAAAGGAAGAATTTGCACTTCCAGGGAAATTAGAGTGCTCGGCTTAAACTGGACTGCTCCAAGGAACAAAGCCTCATATGCTGACTTAGTAGAGAATTGACCTGAAATGTCCACCTTCCACTTATGAACATCCTCAACCTCTGGCAGGAGTAATGTTTCATGAACCAAGTCCCAAATGTCCAAGAATTCTGATAGGACCTCCACAGAATGGTGCCCCTGGATATCCTGTACCCACTGATTGTCCATTAGTGCTTCTTGAACTGTACGTTTCTTAACCCGCCTCTTGGGTACAGTTGCAAATAAATTGGGAGCTAATAGCTTAATAGATGACCCTTGTAACCACCGATCAGTCCAGAACTTGGTGTTCGCCCCATTGCCGACTTCCGTAGTTACAGTAGCATCAAATAGGGCCTGTGCATTCCCATGAACCGTGACCGGGAAGGCTGCCCATGGCTTATCAGGTTCAGTTTTACCCAACCACAACCAACGGACCCTGAGTGCCCAGCCAAATCTTTGAAGGTCTAAAATGCCCAAGCCACCAAGCTCCTTTGGACGGCTCACCTTGGGCCAAGCTAATAAACAGTGACCTCCTTTTGCTTCCTTCCTGCCTCGCCACAAGAAATTACGACGAATCTTATCCACCGCCTTTAGGCACCATGGAGGAAGCTCCAAGGCAGTGGCGAAATATATTAGAACTGAGGTGAGAACCGATTGCACATATGTAGCCCGACCGGCTCGATTCATCAACTCAGGTTTCCAACTTGGCAGATGGTCAGCCACCTTCTCAATCAGAGGTTGTAATTGTGTCTCAGATAGCTTCTTGATGGAAAGACTAAGGCCAAGATATTTGCAGGGAAACTCCTGAACTACACATGGAAATTGAGTCTAAACCACAGCCAAGTCTTCATTAGAGCATTGAATAGGAGAGACACTGCATTTCTGAATATTTGTTCTCAGTCCTGAGGATGTGCCAAATAGCCGTAACGGTGCATCCACCATTTTCAAATCTGTGGCGACTGGGCGAAGAAACAGTACCACATCATCGGCATAAAGGGATACACGATGATGAATATTCCTAGTGGAAAATGGCTGCAGCAACCCTTCAGTGCTCGCCTTATCAATCAATCTATTCAGGACATCCATGACAAGGATAAAAAGCATAGGAGAGAGTGGGTCACCTTGCCGAAGTCCACGCCGGTGATATAAAACCTCACCGGGGACCCCATTGAGTAGCACCCTAGTTGATGACGAGCCAAGCAAGCCACTGATCATATCCCGCCATTTACACCCAAAACCCCTTCTCTGAAGAACCTCCAAAAGAAACGGCCAGGAAACCGAGTCGAAGGCTTTAGAGATGTCCAGCTTCAATAGAATGCGTGGTTGCTTTTGTTGATGCAAGAACCTGGCCGTCTGCTGGACAAGTAAGAAATTATCATGAATACAACGCCCTTTCACGAAAGCACTTTGATTGGATGACACCAACTCACTGAGTCTTCCTGCCAAGCGGTTTGCCAACAGTTTTGTGACCAACTTAGCAAAACTGTGGATAAGACTAATTGGTCGAAAGTCCTTAACTGAGGAAGCATCATCTTTCTTGGGCAAGAGGGTTAGCAGTGCTGAGTTAAGAAGCTGCATGTTCCTAAAATTCCCATGCTGCACCGCTGATATAGCAGCCATTAATTCAGGTTTGATAACTGGCCATCATATCTTGTAGAAACGCCCTATGTATCCATCCGGACCTGGGGCCTTATCTGGAGGCAAATGCTTGATGGTGTTCCACACCTCATCCTCCGAAAAAGGCAGTTCCAGGTCGGTCAAATCAATTTGGCTTAAGTTCAGCTCTTCAAGGTTGATGGTCAGATCCTGCTGGCCACTTGTGCCCAACAACTGATCATAGAAATCAAAAATTGCTGCAGCCTTATCCTCATGGCTAGTCAGCACCTGATCATCTACTATTATCTGTGAGATGAAATTTTTGCGCTTCCTATGACGGACATGAGGATGAAACAACGCTGTATTAGCATCCCCATCTTTCAACCAGTTAATCCTTGACCTAACCCGAGCAATTGTTCTCTGCATAGAACTCAAAGCTAGAGAATGTTTTCTCAAAGAGTGCAGCAACCAAAGCTCTCCTTCTGATAGCTGTCTGCTGTCCTGAGCAATTTCAAGTTGATGGATAATTTCTCTGGCAATACCAAGTTGAGCACCAATGTTTCCGATGCATTTCTGACTCCAGTTTTGTAAAGCTCGGGTAAGATATTTAAACTTCAATGATAGAGTCTCCAGAGGACAAGCCCTTGCTTCAACTGAACCCTAGGCCTAACCAACCACTTCATGGAAACCCTCCAGTTTAGGCCAGAAAGATGCAAAGTGGAATCTGCCCTTTCCAGGCAGCATGTCATTCAGCCCTATAATTAGAGGGCAATGATCTGAGTCCATGGAGGTTGTACTTTGCAACAGACAACTTGGGAATAAATTTTCCCATTCCATGGTAGAGAAAACCCTGTCCAGCCTGCTGAGAGTGGGCGAATTACCGCCACAACTCCATGTGAATTTGCGCCCAATTAGGGGAAGTTCCTTGAGAGCCAAGTCATCCAGGGCCCGACGGAAACGACCCATCATAGCACGGTTGAGATTGGCATTGTTCTTATCTTCCTCCTTATATATGAGGTTGAAATCCCCGGCTACCATCCATGGGCCATGACAGTGAGTGCGGATGAAGCGGAGTTCCTGTAAGAAATTGATCTTCTCCTCATTCCCTTGTGGCCCATACACACAGGTGAGCCACCATGGTTCACTGTCAGTGGGTAGAAATTGGACAGAAACACAATGATTGTCCACCCGAAAATTCCCAGCAGTGCCAAGAGCTTGCTTCCATGCAACAAGTATCCCTCCACTAGCACCCACTGATGGTACGAATACAAAATGACAGAAATCCGGACCTAGAGTAGACAGAACAAACCACTGAGATATGCCTTCCATCTTAGTTTCTTGAAGGCAGACTATGTCAGCTCTAATGGACTGGACCAACATTCGAACAGAGTCTTGACGAGCTGAGGAATTCAGACCCCGTACGTTCCAAACAAGAATCTTTGAAGGATCCATGTAACCAGTGAGAGACGACCAGGGTGCAGCTCAGGCGGTAGCCATCAGCACTCCAGGGCACTTATAGCCCTCGGGAGGGCACTTATAGCCCTCGGGAGGTGACCAGCCAAAGAGCGCAGCGAGGGCCTGAACGTGAGACGCCGAGAGGGGACCGCTGAAAAGTTTGGCGTAGTCTTCCATTACCTTTTGATTGACATGCTCACGCTCCAAGTCAATGCCAAGGGAACGCATGACAGTCTTGCGAGAGCCGGCATCCAAAATACCAGGGAGCTCAGCTTCCAACCCCGCAGTCCTCCTGCTTCTACGAGGAACAGAGGTGGGGGGAGGAGCCCTCGAACGTCTCTTCGGTACTGCGGGCGGCTGGGGAATTAGGCCCTCTGTGTTCTTGGAGAGCTTGTCAATAAAAGCTTTCTGTGCCTTGGTCGCCGGGGAATCAGGGCATGGCCGCCGCCGGGAGTAGACGCGGATCACGGGTATCATGTCACCCAGTGGCCGCAGAACGGCAGCAGGCCTTCCCTCCAAGTTGGGCCTCAGAGCGCATGGCCCGCCTGGTACAATTGCAGGGCTCGCTGTAGCTTCATAGGATAGGGCAGTTGCTGAACCTGGAAATTGCGCCTCTGGAAACTTGACAGACTCCAGCAGAGGGCTGGCCCTGGCTGCACAAAATTGGGCCTCCTCTTCCACAACCATGGCGTCACATGTTTGGGCCTCCAATCCTTCAGCCCCTGGTGGGACCAGTCTGGCCTCCCGGCTTACATCCGCAGCTGCCATATTGACTTCAGGGGGCAGGTCACGAGACGAGTTTCCCATTGACCGCTCCTCGGGGCTCATGATGACCTCGGGCAGCCCTTTGGTCTCGGTCGCCGCAACTGCCATCACAAGAAGGGAGGAGTCCCGTCCGTCATCCCTACCGCCGCAGGGAGAGGCCCGAACCTCCTCGGAACGTCCGTCATCCCATCCGTCGCAGGGAGAGGAACGGTCCTCCTCGGAACCCACCGTGGCCGCCAGCACAGGAGGCGAGATGGCCCCTCCGTCATCACTGCCACCGCAGGGAGATAAACGGTCCTCCTCGGAAACTGGCGAGGCCACCGGCACGAGAGCTAAGCGGGCCGACGCGCCATCAATGCCCCCGCCAGAAATCGAGGCGCTTCGTGGGGGAACGGGTGAGCCCAGCCTAGCGTGCACCGGTCCCCGTGTCACCGCGCCATCCTCCTGCGCCGCTGTCACCGGCGAATCGCGCCGCCGTCTGCGGCGCCTACGCCTGCGACTGCCGCCAGCCGGAGGCGAAGAAGAAGGGTGGTCCACCGGGGGATGCTGTTTTGCCGCGACGAACGAGACGTCGATTGGGTAGACAAGAGAACGCTTCGCCGGGAACTTGTCGCCAGCAACTGGTGGCTCCACGATCTCTAAATCCAGCTTAGAAGGGACATGCTCCAACGAAGAACACCACGCAGTTAGCCAGAATTCATCCCGCCTGTACATAGTATCTGGATGAAGTCCAATGTGATGGATAAGTCTTTGTGGGGCTGGTCTTTGTGGGGCTGCTGCATGATGGTTATCAAGGACAGCATCCTTGACTGAAGGACAGCATCTAGGACAGCATATAGGACTAGCATCTTAGATTCTAGGACAGCATCCTAGGACAGCATCTTAGAGGACAATATATTAGCATCTTAGACTAGCATCTTAGACTAGCATCTTGACATATGTTTGGCTGGCTAGCAGCCTATAAATATGTATCCCCAACCCCTCAGGTTGGCATGGCATTGAGAAATAAACCAGAAAATTGTCCCAACTCCTAGTGTTATCCTCTCTCGATGAGAGTAAGAATTCTGCTACTTCCAAGAGTGAGAATTCAGCGACTAACACAATGATCCAACAAGAATCGTTGAGTAGTTGCTGCGCCGTCTCCAACTCCCAAGCATGGGCCAGGATTCCACGAAGCACCAGCTCAATGGCGATAGGGAGGGTTGCCGCACTGGAGTCGATGAACCTTGACCAACGCATGACGTGCAAGCTGTGGGAAGCGGAGATGATCGGCCGCCCTCCGCCATAGACCCTTGTCGCCGACTCAGCATCCGGTAGAGTGAGCAGGAACCTCGCCGGGCCAAACCGACGAATGACTATCCGCGCCTCATCAATCCCAAACTGTTGCGAGATTGTAGCAAGAATGGAGCCCGCCGAACCATCCAGAAAGTTGCCAAACAATGAGATGACCAAGGCCCGTCCAAGGTCAGATTCCCTCTGTGATATGCTGGCTGAACGATCAATGATCTTCCTAGGCCTCGCCCCAGCGGTCCGACGATCATCGTTGCTTGAAGAGAAGGAATTCTCCTCTGCTTCTTCACAACGCCCGTCGTTGGTGCTGACCGGCAAGGCCTGGCCACCATCAATAGCACCCCCACGCCCCCGACTCCGGGCACGCCGACAACGACCAGAAGTTCCAGCCCCTTCTGAAGCATGCGCGCCCATGGTGGCCGCGAGGGGGGGGGTGCAGCAGCTGGAGAAGCCTGCACTAGCCTCCAAACCAAAAGCCTGCCAGGCGGAGGCGCTCCCGGATGCGACCTCGCAAGCCGAAGCGGACAGCTGTAGGAGCGATGCCCGACACAGCGGCAGGAGAAACAGAGTGGTCCTGAGCGGCACTCCGCCGCGCGGTGGTTGGGAGAGAGGCAGTTGAAGCACCTGCCCCGGAGATCACTAGGGACCGGTCGACGGGGCGGGCGAGCCTGACGGAGACGAGTCTTGCGAAAGCAGCGACCTTCCACCGTCCACCAGCCGTCGGCGTCGGGGCGCCGCTCCTGAAGCGGGCGGCCAGCAGACCGGAGGACGACCCGAGGAACCTGGGGAACAGCCTGCGAGGTAGTGACCGAGACACCCTGGGAAACAGCGGCACCAGGGTCTGCGAGGACACTGCCGAGGCTGCTCCACGAAGAAGAACCTCCTTGAATGAAAGGGAGCCCTCGTCGGAGTCACTCGAGGAAGGTGAAGCATCCAGCCATCGCTGGGCCTTGAAGCGGCCTGTAGGGGTAGGATTTCCGGACGCCAAAGGAGAGGGAGAGGCCGGGCTAATGACTACCGACGTCGTGAGGGTGGCCGCCGTGCCCGGAGTAGGCAACGGCAGGTGGTTGGTGGTGGGAGGGGAGGCGTCAGGGAGGTGGAGGAGGGGAACCATCGTTTTAGCTCTACAATTTTTTTATAATACTTCAAACCATGAAAAAAACATAATAATATAGTTAAGACAGATAAAAAATAACAAAAAGGTAAATGAAATTGGTAACATAAATTAAAAAATGGTACTTCTAATAATGCCAGGTGATTGACAAACCTGCTTTACAATCTCCTTTCGAACATGCTTGTGATAATCAGGTGATCTATATAGTTGGTCCGAGAGTGCACGAAACTACATGAACAAAACACAACCACATGAACATATGATCAGTAGTTTAACAAGATTGTCTAATTTCATCGAATAAATAGAATGGACTTGAGAAATTTCTTAGGACAATAGAAGTCTTTGTTATTGTTGTTGCTGTATCAAAGAAATTGAATGGGCACAAGAAGTTGGTGTACCTGACAATTTCCATCACCAGATACTCTCACCTCAAACAAGCCGTATGCATTTAGCCTACAAAGAACACTTAATTGTAAACACATGTTGATGTTTCATCTATAAACAAAACAGGCACAAGGTACAAGAGACTGAACTTCCATATCCACAATGTGCATAGTAAAGATATCGCTAAATATTGTTTGAAAATGCAGAATACCCAGGGAAATGAAAATTTTAGAAAGAAACAGATCCAATTTATATGTTTTAGAAGATGGAGATAAATGGTGGGAAGCACATCCTAAGTTGAATCTCCCACAGCTTGCATGTCAATTTATTGTTTCCTTTAATTTCTTCCCGACATCCCAGGTACAACCCCAAAACAAAATTTAACACAGAGCCTTGTGCTTTAAGGCTTTAACTCAATAGCTAAAGATTCGTTTGAGCGAGAAAAATTGTACATTGTCAAGGACAGAGATCTCCAGACGTTTAAAATATTAGTAATAAGAGGATGGAATTAACCAATGTAAACAAATAAACATGAAGAAGTTAATGATTGCAAAATAAGGCAAAAATACTGAAACACCTTCATGAAAAATGAGCAATCTACTTCCTAACGAAATAATGTGAATGCTTAGGCAGATAAAGGAAACTATAGTTCATGAAATGTTACCTATCAAGAAGGCGATAATGGTCCATAGTGGCATCACTATATGTCGGGAAGTATGTGTTAATCCGGGGAACATGCTACACATGTACAGATAAAAATGAGTACCAGATAAGAAGCCAGTGATGTTAACTTTCTTTAATCAATTTATCGGTACCAGAAATGAAGACAGTGTGTGCCTATAAAACAAATAGCCTTCTGTGCAGGGAAGAAAAGGAAAAGGCAAAGGAAAATACAAGTAACATAAAATTCGTGAGACATCTTACAGGAATCGATGTTAAATTAGTAAGACGCTTGGCCATAGCACCATCTAACTTGGCATATTCTTCGGAGAGAACCATTGCAATCATCCTATCATCATTAGTTTCACTCCTCTGGCTGCTCATTGAGGTTGAGCTAGATGAGGCACCTTCCCTTGGAAACATATGTGTCATCTCCAACCTAGTAGTTGCCAGGATAAACAATTTTATAGTAATATTGATAAACTAAATGTGTTACAAAACATCTTGAAGAGTTCAAAGAAATTGAATATCTAAAAAAAAAGAAAGAAACATGCAAATGCAATTTACATGTTGTACAACTATTAATATCAAGGAAACAGAACCTACAAAGTGTAGGCTGAAAAATTATATAACTTTAATGGAGAGGCACACACAACACAGAGAGAAACACACACACACACACAAAAGGAAAGGGAATTGAAAAGCATATGCAGAGAAAATGAGAGAGGCCTAGCTGAATGAAGTTTACTGTAAAATGTTTATTACTATGTACATGGTGTTGTTGGCAGAGGATATATGATTTGCATAACTTGTTTGTGCCCACACTTATCTACAGTACTCAAATGTCAGAGATGTCTGATGGCATCTCAAATATCTTTCTCCTCAAGCACAGTTTGCATCCATTCCCAAGTATTTCAGCATGCTTTTAACATATGGTGTATAACCAATTATCCATATGGACTTACAGTGATGTTCCATGTATGTAATACTTAAATCTTCATGTACGGGATGACAATGGCCTCCCAGATGTATAACTATATATGTACAGTAGAGGCACTGATATTGCGCTTGAGGCACAAGGAGCCATGATGATGCAACAGAAAATTTGATGTCCATCTCTCATGGATAATGAAATTTAACTATGTGCTAGTTCCTGTGCTACCTAGGTTATGAAAAGAGCACGGAGACTAGTATTGTTCTGGAGGCAAAATTGCATTCTGAGGCTACAAATTGGAGCACCAATCTGTTTCTTCTTGACAAACCATGATTAGTTTTTTTTTTCTTGCAGATGAACCAAGATAAGGTTATTAAGAGTAGAAGTTAGGAGGTATACATCATCACTTTTTTCACGGAATCCTGCCTACCTGTACTCTGGGGCAAGATCCCAATAGATTTTGCTTTCCAGTATCATCATGACTCGTCGCTGAACAAAAAGTTCATCTACAGTTCGTCGCTGATTATCCTAGGTTACCCACCAAACAGCAAACGAATTCGGAACACCTAATTAGCTCAGTAATCTAGGCCGACGTTCCTGAATTGAACCTATGCGCAAGGAGGTAGCAAAAGATAACTTGCCACCGCAAAATGTATAAAGACAAGGCCAAACCCCTACAGGGGACTCATACGTCGCAGAGCTCTCATTGGAATCAATCTCGACTGACTCCATTCAACTCGGCCAATCACAAGCCAGGATCCCCCGCAACCTGGACAGGTTTAGCTTCAATCGACGCCCAAATTCCCCACAACAGGAGCCCAATAACGATTCCAAATCAAAAGGGCAAGGAGGAGAGCCATACCACCACCGGCAGCAGCAGAAGGGGAACGCCGGCGAGCTCGGTAGGAAAGAGGGGACCGCTAGCCGCGGACTGGGAGGACGCGCCTTCTGCTTTGCGGGGGTCGGCGGCGAAATGGGGACGGGACGACGCTTTCACCTCTCGGTTGGGACTTGGCAAGAGAGCGCCGCGGCTGGCTTTGATTGCTTCCGTTCGGTTCCGCCTTTTTCTTGCGCTGGGCAGGCTGCCGCGGTTTCTTCCGCGTACTGCCTTGCCTACTGCCCAACCACCAGCACCCGAGCGCCGTTCGTCACCCTCCTCCCCGCGGTGCCTCCCGGATCGTGCCGAGCCGGTTTGACTGTCTGACAGATGGGACATGCCCTGGAGCAACCAGGTTGTAAAAGTAAATCCAGAGCAGCGGGTGCCTTCAGTTGACCATGTTTATTTATAGTCCCTCCGTCTCAAAGTTGTAAGTTAGATTATACGTAAATCATTTTAGCTGTTTTAAATACTCTCTTTATTCTAAATTATAAGTTATTTTTTTCACGTAAAAGATTTACACGTCTTTGTATTAAGATAGAGAAAAAAATTTAATACAACACATCCTAGTGGCGCCCTAGTAAGTCAGAAGAGTTGTACATGGACGTTTAGACTCACACTACATGGATTTTGCTATGTATCTAGATATAATAACATATATTATATCTAGATACATCACAAAACTAATGGACTAAAAAAGTAAAAGTGACTTATAATTTAGAACGGAGAGTAGTGCGTAGTTTTTTTTTTCTATGTACTTCTTCCATCCCAAATTATAAATTATTTCAACTTTCTCTGAGAGTCAAAATATTCTAAGTTTGACCAAATTTATATAATACAATAATGACATTTATGATAACAAATAAGTAACATTAGATTTTTTATTAATTACATTTTCATAGTATACCTATTTGATGTCATTAATCTTGTAGTTTTTATCTACAATTTTAATCAAATTTAAGATGCTTTGACTTTCCAAGAAAGTTAAAATAACTTATAATTTAGAACGAAGGAAGTACGTAGATATAGATTATGTCTACATATATTGTAAAAGCTATGTATTTAAAAAAAAAAATGCGATAATTTGGAACCGACGAAATACTAGTTTTGTCATTTAGGAATGGCAATGGTACCCACGACCCAAAATTCAATGAGCTTTTTCTGTATTAGGGCATACGTGTAGGCTAATTTACTTACCTATGTTAATAAGAGAAAAAAAAATCCATACCCATTGGGACCATGGATACGGTATGGTTACGCTCTATCCGAACTTGTAAAACCATGGGCACGTATATTTGATATGCATGTATAATTCAAAGCCATCTTTCATCCTAATGTATTCGAAAACATGGTCCAACTAGCACACCTAGTGGCATATAAAGGAGCAGCATATATACCATTTTTCTATTACATTTATGACATATTTGTTGTTCTACTATTTGTCTATTTCGTATATAGTCATAGTTTAATACATGTGTTACATTCTTCTCGAACATGAACAACGCATGAGTACCCGTTTGCACGCATGGGCATAGGTATATGCACAAAATTGCACCCATATATGGGCATGAGTTTCTTGCGGTATGAAAAATTCTGATGGGCATTGGTAGGTGCACTACTAGAGAACAGATTTTAGAACGATGTCCCAATTTGATATTAGCCTCGGCATTTTTTGCCGCCGAGACTAAAGGACCCTTTAGTCTCGGTTCGTAATATCAACCGGGACTAAAGGTCTCTGCCCAACGGTCGTCCGCGTGGCAGGGATCTTTAGTCCCGGTTGGTACCCGGTTGGTAATACCAGCCAGGACCTTTAGTCCCGGTTGGTAATACCAGCCGGGACTAAAGGTTTTAATCCCGGTTTGGCCACCTAACCGGGACTAATTATGCGGGCCTATACAACGGCTCATTTCTTCCTCCCCGAGCCCGAGCCATTCCATTCAAACTCACTGCCTCTGTTCTTCAGCTTGCTGTTGTTCTTGCTCTCTCCCCCTCCATTGGTGTTGCTCTTCGATTTTGGAGGTAACAAACTTAATCCTCTTATGTTTTATCAGTAGCTTATCTCATTTTGCGATGTAGATGCATGTGTAACTTTATATGTTGGACTTTATTATGATTTTATATGTCATTTTTAGCTTAAAATCATATGATGATTTGCATATATGTTTGGATAAACAAAAGTTAAATTAGTTCATCAAAATCACGCCTTGCTCGTCCTCGCTGGAGCACGCGCCATCCTCGTCCCCGACGGCTTACGTGATCTTAGAATTAATTTTTCTATGAAATGAAAAACTTAGAAAATAGTTAGAAAATTATAGAAAATCCGTACTAGTTGAACTTGCGGACCGTGATCATCTCGGCGAGCATTTTCTCTGCCGAGCGGTAACGGACGTCAAGGAGGAGCTTTGATTCTACGAGGGAGAGCGGGAACGATCGTGGAAAACCGTGTTCCCTTCCTCGTAGAATTGGAGCTCTTCCTTGGCCAAGTACGGTGCCGTCCGGTGGAGAAATGCTCGTCGAGATGATCACGTAAGCAAGGTCAACTAGTACGGATGGTTATTTATTGAAACATGTTTTTGAGCTATGTGATTTCTATGTCATTTTTAGCTCAAAATCACATGATGATTTGCATATATGTTTGGAAGAAGAAGTCCATCTTTTGGGAGCTACCCTATTGGCAAGTCCTAGAGGTCCGCAACGCAATCGACGTGATGCACCTGACAAAGAATCTTTGTGTGAACCTGTTAGGATTCATGGGTGTGTACGAAAAGCCAAAGGATTCACTTGAAGTACGCTAGGACTTGCAGGGCATGAAAGAACGAGACAACCTTCATCTAGAGAAGATAGATGATGGACGTCATTACTTAAGTCCTGCTAGCTACACGCTTAGCAAAGAAGAGATGGACAGCATGTTCGAATATCTAAGCAGCATCAAGGTCCCATCGGGATTCTCCTCCAATATAAAGGGTATAATAAATGTGCCAGATAAGAAATTCCTAAACTTAAAGTCCCACGACTGCCACGTGCTTATGACGCAATTGCTTTCAGTTGCTTTAAGAGAAATTCTACCTCCACATGTACGTCTAGCCACCGTGAAGCTATGTGCATTCCTCAATGCAATTTCTCAGAAGACAATCAATCTAGTGAAACTAGCTACTCTACATAATGATATGGTTCAATGTCTTGTCAGCTTTGAGTTGGTGTTCCCTCCATCCTTCTTTAATATCATGACACACCTCCTAGTTCATTTGGTGAAGGAGATTAGTATTCTTGGACCTGTGTTCTTACATAACATGTTCCCCTTCGAGAGGTTTATGGGAGTCTTGAAGAAATATGTGAAAGTCCGTTCTAAAGCTTTGAAGGAAGCATCGCCCGAGGCTATGGAGCAGAGAGGAGGTCATTGAGTTACGTGTTGACTTTATTCCTAACCTTGCCCGATTGGCGTTCTGAATCACGACACGAGAGGAGACTCGATGGTAAAGGAACTTTAGGGAAGAAAACATATATCGGCATGGAAGACGATTATTTCAATAAAGCACACTACGATTCTTGAAACTCGTCATTGGTGCATCCGTACATTGAGATACATAAGGAGTTCTTACGATCCAAGTTTTCGTGGAAGACGAAGCTTGGATTAGGCGTCCAACACATGGAAAGTTTCGATTGGTTGGTTGCGAAAAGAATGTCAAGGCGATGACAATATTGATGAGCAAATCTGTATTTGTTGGCTAGGCAGCCATCATGGCATATCCTCACGTACCAAAGGTGCGAGATAAATGGAATACATTTTACACGATTGCCCAAGATAAAAAGAGCACCAATCAAAATAGTGGTGTTCGCATAGACAGTCTGATCCAAATGGGAATATACAAACATATTATTGCCGCATAGAAGAGATATGGGAACTAGACTACGCACCTAATTTTAAAGTCCCTTTGTTCCGTGCCAATGGGTGAAGGCGGCCGGAGGAGGAGGGGGTAACAATCGACAAAAGAGTATGGAATGACAACAGTGGACCTCAACAATATTGGGTACAAAGAGAAACCATTCGTCCTTGCTGCCGATGTGAGTCAGGTGTTCTATGTGAAAGACATGTCTACAAAATCAAAGAGAGGAAAAAACGAAGACATCAACTCAATGATCAACGAGCCAAAGCGCCACATAATTCTTTCTGGGAAAATAAATATAGTGGGAATTGAAGACAAGTCAGACATGTCAGAAGATTACGAAAGAAATGTCCGAATTCCACCCTTCATAGTGAAGAAAGATCCAAGCATCATGTTAAATGATGAAGACACTCCATGGTTACGACAAGATCATAACCAAGGGTCATACGTCAAGAAGAAATTCACTGTTGTGCCCGCATGATACAACGATGCATGTTTAATATATTATGTTTTAGAGACGGATATTATGTAACATGTTATGACTTCACAATTGTAGATCTTGCTGAGATGATCAAACTTGGTATTTAGAGTTTTTTCATCTGAGGTCATTTAGTGTCTCATTTGAGCAAGTTTGACCAAGTCAAATTTGGTCAAATGAAAAAACAACACTTTGACTCTAGTATTATGAACTCTAAATGACTTCAAATTGAAAAGTTTTGAATACCAAGTTTGTTAAACTCAAAAAGATCTACAATTGTTGTTTTGATCAACTTTCCATTTGAGAAAGTTTGGACGGTTCAAATTTGTGATTTTTAAATTTTGACGCCTACAAACTAGTTTTCGGAACCCTAGATTGTCTAAAATTGAAAAGTTTTGAATACCAAGTTTGTTCATCTCATCAATATCTACAATCTTTATATAGGCTATTTTTTCATTTGAGAAAGCTTGAACAAACTGTAGTTTAAATTTCACAAGTGTGTGACATAGTTTTAGAAAGTCTATATGAGATTCAAGAAGTTGTGACTAGTGTTTGATAAAAATTTCCCAAATGGGAAAATGAGCTGTGTAAAAATTGTAGATCTTGCTGAGATGATCAAACTTGGTATTCAGAGTTTTTTCATCTGAGGCCATTTAGTGTCTCATTTGAGCAAGTTTGACCAAGTCAAATTTGGTCAAATGAAAAAACAACACTTTGACTCTAGTATTATGAACTCTAAATGACTTCAAATTGAAACATTTTGAATACCAAGTTTGTTAAACTCAAAAAGATCTAAAATTGTTGTTTTGGTCAACTTTCCATTTGAGAAAGTTTGGATGGTTCAAATTTATGATTTTTAAATTTCGACGCCTACAAACTAATTTTCAGAACACCAGATTGTCTAAAATTGAAAAGTTTTGAATACCAAGTTTGTTCAGCTCATCAATATCTACAATCCTTATATAGGCCATTTTTTC